ATGAAAACAGGTAGAGGATAACCAGTTGAGATGGTTTCCTATATACTTATATTTTTGGTGTGCAGCAGAGGTATAGAATTAGCATTTTTTTTGTACCTTACCTGATTTTTGATGTAACAAACATAAATATGATTTGAATGGAATGTGTTTTGRTGTTGGTGTGCATTTATCCCTCTACCTTGGTTTCTGTTCTCTAATGGCCCTGGATCTCTGACAGAACAGCAACCGATTAAAGAAAAGAATAGCACCCATTAAGATACAGAGAAAAGACAGAAATCTTTGTCTGTCTGATTATCTCCTTCCCAGTTGGAACTATGAAAATCTCAAGTTAAACAGAAGAAAGTGTCAAGTGCAGCAAACTTTGTGAAATTGTAAGAGCTTCTAACTTCTTGAAACACATTCATATCAGTTCTGCAATCTCTTCTAGAAAACTTGATACATGAAATGGGAGTTCGAATACATGGGGAGGAGGGGGAGAACAAGACAAAGAGAAGATACTTGGAGAGAATTTTGTAAACTTACCTAACATCTTGGGCTCTGGTGCAAGACTGAAAATTGAACTGAAGTTGACAGTGCAGAGAAGAAGGGTGAGTGTTAAAATGAGGTGGTTGGAGAGTCGCAGTGGTGGACAAAATATAATTATGAAGAAAGTCAAAAAGTGGAAGGTAAAAAGAAGAGGGAACTCCCTACAAAATAAAGGGCCACTTATTGCTATCAACTTTCTCGGGGAACAAGGCTAGTTTTGAATTCTACTTTAAAAAAAAAACGAAACAAAAAAAGGCTAGTTTTGAATTTATTTCAATCAAAGGAGAAAAAAAGACATTAATTGCTGTTTAATTCATATAGTTTGTTCGGAACAAATTTTGGCTTCATAGATCTCATACTTCTTATTCCAGTTATTTTAAGTAGAGAGAAAAATAATATCTTTTTTTTTTTTCGTGAGTGAGAAAAATAATGTCTTGAACTCGATATTAAAGTTAAAGAAAAAAATTAAAACGTAAAGACAAGAATGGGGTCTTATTTTGTGACTTGTTCGAACAAGTTATTGGATCTCCTATTCATTTTTGCAAGTCAKAACTGAACATTGTCGAAACATTTTATCAGAAATCTTTTTTATAGCAGGGGCGAACATAAAATCTGGATAAATAACACATTATTTCTTACAACATTGACTTGTAGATTAAAGTGTAGATTCCGCCGACACTATACTACAGCATCATTAGTATATTTCCTCACCAGCTAGCCGTTTTCTTTGAGTTCCAAAAATAAAAAATCAGATGCATCTTCGAGGAGGGAGCTTCCACAGGTCCTCAGCCCCGAAGACCGATTTTATAGGAAAAATAAAAGAAAAAGCAGAGTCAAAACTTTGTTCATTTAACTTCTGAAGCGCTCTATAACTCTACATCCATGAATTTACTCCAGATACCCTCTAATTTTAGGACCACTGAACCTTTGGTTACAATGTAATTCCTGGTTAGGTTGTCTTTCTCTTTCTCTGCAACTTCTGCAGCTTCCTCCACTTGAGGTAGATTTGATATGATAACCCCGAGAAGACCATTACAACGCAGCCCCACTGCTTGGAAGACAGAGGATTGCCACTGAGCACAGAGGACACCACAATGCTGACAAACTTGCGAGTTGTGGTAATGGTGGTATTGGCAAGGGAACCGAATCGGCTTATTGTTAGGAAGATAAAATTTTGGCCTACTGCTCCACAGAGACAGTACAGAAGAATGTCCCACGCTGCCTCAGGATGCTGCCTGCAGAATTCTATGGCATGATACCCAGTACCATTCGGCCAGCCAAACATATAAATCATATTATATATAGTTCCCCAAAGATTCATTCCCAACATTATGTCCCATGCACTTGTTTTTGGGTACCTGCAGGATTGACGATGAATAAATGACCATTACAGTAATCATAAGTTAACTGACTTAAAACTTTGAACAGCATATAGCTTCAAAGTTGTGGACCAATTTGAATTTATTTCTAATCACTGCATCGAGCTATGAAAAGATAAAATCATGTAATAATTTATTGGAAATATATTTGACAAGGTTTTTTTTTTTTTTATAGGAAATGTCTTTAACAAGATAAATTCGTATTAATTAATCATGTACATGAAGAGGAAGATTTTAACGGAACAATTGTGAAAAAGATATTCATACCTCGCAGAAATGGAATCTTGAGTGGCATTCGTGAAACCATCAAATGCGAGGTTCAGGAAGCAAAGTCCATATCCAAGGGGTGCATTGGGATGCGCCAACTTGCTTATAGTCTTTGAGCTAGTCTGATATTAACACAAGCATAAATAAATTTAAAAGAATAATAAATAAATAAACTTCAAAACAGAAATTGATGATGCATTCATTCATCATCCCTATTCTACAACACAAAGATATAAGAACACGAGAAGAAGACTTGAAAAAGAAAATACCTTTAAGAGTGCAAATGTTGATACTCCTCCAGCAACCAGAAAAGTACAAATATATTCTGGAAATGTGTACTTAATACCATAAACTAGCGTTCCCATCAGCATCACTGCATAAACGAGATATAAGGCATTCAGATTAAGGGATACGCACACAGATCATCAATTCCTCACATTGGACCCTTGAAGTCCGGTTATTCTCCTTTACTTCATAACTACTTTTTCCTTCATTTTTTTATTTTCCATTGAACAAATTATATATGATTCGCATAATTAACTGGAGTAAAACATATTATCATGCGGATCTCGTTTATGTCTAACCTGGAATCATTTTTGATGACTTTGCCAAGACCTGCACAAGTTGACAACTTACTCAGTACGCCAGGATCAAATAAATCACTTATCAGTTCTATTTTTTGTTTGCTCTACAAATAATAATCATCTGCCAAAGGCTTTTTAGTTGCCACAGATTACTTAGTTAGTAGTCACACACATCCTAGGCAGAAAGTGCAACATATGTGTCCTTCCTCACAGAATTTATTGTCAAGAAATCTTAATTAATTAAATTATAGCAAATGAAAGAGCCAGAAAAGAAATGATAAGGTCAAACATTCAAATAAGAGGATAATATGAAACATGCCTGGGCAGGATAACTTATATACTTTAAAGCTTCAATCCCCATAGCTGGTCCAATCGTATTCGTAATACCAGCACTCCAGTACGCCCGCCATGGTGCACCACCAGTGCTACGACTGGACCAGAGCTTTATCACTGTTTATGATGCACAACCAGCTTAATTCTTTTGGCCACAGCTAAAAAATTGTTTGTTTACGTGGTATGATAATGGATGATACAGAACAGAATAGAATTGGTAAAAAGTTGAGCCAAGAGAAACTCACTTATATATGACCATATTAAACAGACAACATTTTGTGCCAGGTTAAGGAAGGAAAGGTGTTCAAATCTCTTTCTGTCAGGACCAAAGCGCTTAGTGGACCTAAAGAGAAACGAGAAATTACTCATAATTATCAAAATCGACTCAAATGCGTTGGTGAGCAAAGCAAGAACATAGAGGATTTTGCGCTCGGGAACGGGGGCCACGTTCAAAGAAAATACAGCAGGTAGAACGACGGCTAATCCTCAAATTAAATTATTTTCATTAAAAATTCCATATCTTAAATGGTCAAAGTCCCAACAGTTTCTGTAACATACGTGATTGAGGCCAGTTGACAACCATTGATCTGCACTACTATTAGTCCCCAAAASCCGCAGAAAACTTGAGCTAAGCATGTAATGGCGAAGCAAACTGGAAGAAGTTACATAAAGAAAAAATGGCAACGTCCAATTTCATGGAATAGTTCTCCAGATTGCCCTAGATAGATGGCATTTAGTKCTCATATGTAAATTCAATAAAATCAATGWACTTACCAACAAATAATCCAGAAGATATGAAAAAACGGAAAACTAAATTTATGCTGTATCAGGATCCTCAGGAAGATATCAACAATAGACATGCACTCAGAAAACGAAAAATAAAAACAAAATAAATCATAATGAACGAAAGCAACTCACAGAGTCTCCTGAAGAACGCCTTGGTAAATATAAGCGGACCAAATCCCGGCGACGCAAAAGGCGAGGACGAGCACGCGGCGGAATCCGCTGCCATGAGCTTCCATTCTCAGCCGTCGATGTCGCCGGAGATAGTAGATCCAGCAAATATATCCGCAATTGCAAAAGATGTGCAGAGAAAAATTGGATTTGGGATCGAAAATAAAGAATGGCGAAGAACCGAATTGGAGAAGAAATTAACTGCAGAAGTGCCCTTTTACGAAGGATATAGAAGGTCGCAAACGACTGATATTGGTCAGTATTCCACGTGGAAGATTTCTATTGGAGCGGTGACTCGATTTCGCGCCTCTGATTGGCTGAATCGACGCGGATCTTCTAAACGGAAGGCAAAAGTAAAGACAACGGCGAAGGCAAAACCGCGCAGTTAGCTTAGCGTGGACTTCCAAATTCTAATGAAGAAAACCAGTACCACGTGTCATTTATGAATTACGACAAGACGATTTCATTTTTTGATAACTTGACGACATGTCGCCTAACCCTGCTTTTGGGCCTGACCTTTCATTTTTTCTTCTGGAAAATATATTTTTCATGGTCCACTCGCAATTGTCTCATTTTTCTCATGGTTTTAAATTTTAATGCTAGTGGGAGGTGGATTTTTTTTAAATAATTATTTTTCAAAAACAAATGACAAATCTAAGTTAGGTTTCAAATAATTACAAAATTAGGGTAGATAAATGCAGGGATAGGCTGCGATTTGCCCAAAATCGCAGGCGATGGCTGCGACTTATGTCGAAATCGCAGTCATTGACCGCGATTTCACTAAAGTCGCAGCCATTGGCTGCGACTTCTGCCTGACGTGGCGCAAATGGAGCCACGTCTTTGCTGACGGGCCATTTATTTTTTTTAATTATTTTTTTATTTTGAATTTGGAAGTCGCAGCCAACGTCTGCCACTTCCTTTGTTTTTTTTTTGGTTAA